ATTAGTTTGCATTATTTAGGTAACTGTATTTTTTTTCACACTGCGGCAACGCTGCATTTTTATTTTTATTTTCGCCACAGTATTTGTAAATACAAATTGTGTTCAAATGAAGAAAGCTCTCATACAATTTTTTTTTTTTTAATAAATTTCAGTTTTTTTTATTTGTTGGCAGTCAAACGAGCAAATTTTTATTTTCGTATGAAATATTTCGTAGTATGTAGTAGTATATGTATAAATAGTAGTAAGTTGTTTATTTTTTTCATTATTAGTACGAAGTGATAACTTAAGTACTTAGATGCTTTTTTTTTAATAATGATAATTAACAGTAAACGCTGTTGAAAAAAATATGGTCGATCAAAAAAGCGCAAAACTATTTAGAGCAGAAATGCTCACAAGTCTAAAATGTTGCCAAAATAATAAAATTTTACATTAGTGGCTTTTGAAAGCTTTTTGCGAAATAACTGAGAACTGCTCAAGAAAGCTCAAAATATGTAAATTAAGTTGAAGCATAAAGTTACAGTAAAAAATAATTGCTACCAATCAATTCGACATTTTGTCTCAAAAACTTCTTACCAAAACTAAAACAAAAAAAACTAAAATTTTAATAAAGCAGGGAATATCAACTACAGTTTGGTTGAAAGCGCTGTAGAAGCGAACAGCTTGAAAGTGATTGTGATTAAGATAAAATTTGCGTTGCATTAAAAACTGCAACCATAGTATTTCTAGTTAGTTAGCTTTTTTAAAGCTTTCTGAAAGTGTTCGTTGCCGATCTTTGGGTATGTGCAAAATAACACAAAATTTAAGCTTAAAAACTTCAAAAGAGCTTTGAAAGCAAATTATGAGCCAATTTTACTTGCAAGCTTAAACTTGCGTCAGCTCATGTTTTCATATGAAGGCACAAATAACTGAATATTTAGGAATTGGTTAAGTTTTCGAAGAGTTCGGAGTTTAGAGTGAAATATTTTTTTTTAAGATTTTAAGCTTAAATTTGGTTCGAGTGCTTATTTAAAAAAGTAAAATATGTGCTTTGAAGTATGTATTTCCAATTTATATTACATATATAGGACATAAAATTACTTAAAAGATTATTAGACAGTTGAAGCCTTACAATTTCAAGAGCTTTCGCTGAGCAGCACGCTTAAAAGTGCTAAAAGAAAAAATAAAAGCTCAAAAGCTTTAAGGAAATTAATGAATTAATTTTAGGAATTCTAACATACATAGCTGTGATTTATTGTACAAACGTTATTACGTCACTTTTTTCCAAAAGTGTGTAGTAAGCTAAGCAAGAAGTCTACAAAAAGCTTTCTAATGCTTAAAAAAACATTTCCCATCTTTACTGCGGAACAAAATTTGCTTTTTTGAAGTAACCGTATATTTTTCCACAGCTTAAGCGCCTTAAAATATGCAATATAAAAAGAAACAATATAAAAAACAAAGAAATTATTAACGGTTTATTTGTGTAGTGTGTTTTTCAATAATTTTGTATTTCTTTTTTACTTTTTCTTTATATACGTGTGCTTTTGTAGAGATCGCTTGGTGTAATATGGGTATGGTTGTATGGATGTAAGTAAGTTTTTGTTTTTGGTTGGCTGTTTGGGTGTTTGCTTGTGTATAAAACTACATTTTTAGTAAATTTTCTTCTTCACCGCCATCCCTTTCTTCCACTTAAGTGCTCTTATCAACCAGATTGCGGCTTAATGCTGACATTTTCTTTTTCATCAATTTAAATTAAAGTGCTTTTTTCACTTAATTAATTTCACTTTCGCATAAATATTATTAAATATATATTTATTTATATATATATATATTTGTATATATATATATATTATATGTACGTAAATGTAAGTATGTATGTATAAGTTAATCGTAATTTTTTTTTGTATGCAATGAAGTGTTTGTTGCGATGTTATCTACAAAATACCACCAATGCTTATTATGCACTTGCGTTATGTTGATGATGACAATAATGGTTGGTGTAACTGATGACGAACCGTTGCGGTTAGGTTTAGCACAATGATTTTTTTCTAACGACTGACTAACTGGAATTTTTCGTCTTAACAGCCTCGTCTCTAACTTAATGTCCACTTGACATTGTTTTCCGATTTATCAGCAGACTTCGCTTTTGTACACAGCTTCAAGTTTTTGCTGCTTTGGTTGTCGTGTGCTCCTAATCGCTGTGTATCTGTGTGTTTCATTTGTGTATGCGCTTAGACGTAGTGTTGTGTCTGTCCGGTACCGCCGCCAACGCCACTGCCTCCACCGCCATATGCACCTGACATGGCTGCTGTTGTTGAACCTGAGGAAGCTGTTGAAGATGAAGATGATGCTAAGCTGCCTTGCTCCCGAGGCAATGCCGGTCATCGCCGATCGTCTGCGTGCGCGTCAGTTTCCGTGTGAGTGAGTTAGTAGATGAGAGTTAGTGGATTTCATTTGTTTATTCACATAAAATTCATTTGGATATTTTTATTTATAAAAACAGTATAAACATATTTATTGTTCAGTGTTGCATTTTATGGTTAAGGAAAAAGAGAAAAATTATGCAAAAGTTAGTAAATAATATCTGCAGTGGATTTTTGAAGTTTATCTTCACTACTTTTCATGCAAATGAAAAGAGACTGAAAAAATGTTGGATTATAAAAAAAAAATTACTTATAAAAAAATTTCATTTTATAAAAAATTAATTATAAAAAAATTTCATTTTATAAAAAATTAATTATAAAAAAATTTCATTTTATAAAAAATTCATTATAAAAAATTTGAAATATAAGAAATAATTTCATTATAAAAAATTTGAATTATAAAAAATAATTTCATTATAAAAAAGTTTAATTATAAAAATAGGTGATTTAAAAAAAATTTAAGTATTAAAAATTTGAATTATATAAAAATTTCATTATTAAAAATTTGAATTATAAAAAACCATTTTAAATATAAAACAAATTTAGTTAAAAAAGATTTATTAAAAAAAAATATGATTATAAAAAAATGTAATTATAAAAAAAATTTTATTGGAAAACAAATTAATTATTAAAAAATTTAATTATGAATAAAGTTAATAAAAAAAAATTTTTTTTTAATAGATTTATTCAAAAATTTAAATTGTAAAAAAATTTTAATTAAACAAATTTTCATTAAAAAAATTTATATTTAAAAAAAAATTATGAAATAAATGTAATTGCATGTCATATGAACATTATGAAGCTTTATTAAAAATTGCGCCAAAATTAAAATTGAAATTTCAATTAAAATATTTTACAATTATTTTTTGATTAAAAAAATATTGGTTAATAACTCAAAACAACTTTTTATTACAAAAAAGTATGAATTAAAAAAAAAAACATTTAAAATTTTTCTACGTTGCACAATTTTTAATAAAGTATGTTATTTTGAATTAAAAATATTTCAAACTAATTTTGTCTTGGAAAAAGTACTGAATTATGTTAAAAAAAATATTTTAATTTTTGTACGAAACAGTGTGAAAATAATTGTGTTTTATACACGAGCTTTGCTGCGAAAAAAATATGCTAATACAGAAATGCACAAAATATTTTGACTTGCAAATATGGTAAACCCAAAAGTACGGTTTTAAAAACAATTTTTTGTAAAAAAAATCATATGAGTATTTAATTAGAAGCTAGCTTAGCTCAAAAATTTATAACCTTGTACTATGACTTTCCCAAAAATTCTTGTATCCCAAAATAATATTTTAATATATGAAAAAAGCGAAAACCAGTTTTATAGCTTTTAAAGTTTAACTAGGGATGTACCAAAAAAAATTAGCGTTCTAAACTTTTTTTAGTGTCTCAAAATTTAATTTCAATAAATAAAATACCACAAGTTTTAAAATATGCAGCGAATTTTCAAACACAATTAATGCAAAATTGTATTAGGGATGTCCCAAAAAAAATTTGTGTAACGCAAAATTTAATCTCAAAGCACAAAAAATAAAAAATTTAAAAATACCTGGTGAATTTTCAGATACAAATTATCAACAGTTGTACTAAGGTTGTGCCAAAACTTTTACTCATGCCAAAATTCTACCGGCATGTACAAAAAAATAAAAATTTTGATTTTTTTTAATGAAACTGAACACATAACATAAACACAATACTACAACAAATAACTAAAACTACTATTAGTGTTTCTAATATAAAACTAAAACCCCCACAGCAACAAAAACATGTCAGCGCTGCTGCTTTTTAGCATTGAAAAAAGTTTTGTCTGAGCTCATTTTGTATGCCACTGTGCTTGGAAGCTACAGTTATTTTTTTATTTGTACTTTCGTAAGGTTTACAAAAATTATTATTTTAACTCATAGGTGTATGAATCTTGTAAAAATGTTAATAAATTAAATATATGCTTGTTTGTAAATAAGTAAATCATAATTAATAAGTGAATGTCATTTATAATAAATTACAGCTGTAAGTACAAGTTCGTATGTATATATGAAAAATATAATATGTATAAATATATAAATATTTGTGTAGTACGTACAGTTGCAGTTTTGCGCTGGCGACACACGCGTGCGTAAGAGTGAAAGCTAATAATTTTCGTAAAAATTGTAAATTACTGGCTGTTTAAACCGTTATATTGTGGAAAAAATATATGTACAAATGTACATTCGTGTGCAAAACTGCATGTCGCTATATGCAAGCGTGCGTCCCAAGCGCCTAACTTCAGAAAACTATGGCTAAGAACACAAAAAGATTTTTTATTTTTTTTTAAATTTTTTTAGCACGTTTTGCTATGTAAATACTTAAAAATAAATGTTCAATAAATAAAATCTACATTTGTAATTAAATGTATAATCGAAAACATAAATGATGAACAAAAAAAAAATAATAATCAAAGCAAATCGTCTTATTCTTTCCACTATTTTTTTAATATGTTAAGGGAATGCATTTTTATGTATGTATGTTTGTATGTCTGCATGTGTTTTGTAGGTTTGTGTAATTGTTTGTCTTTACTTTAGAAATATTTGAAGCGTTTAATCGACTCACCATGCGCTTGTGGCTCTGGATGTTGCAACGCGGCGGCCGACACCAATTGTTGCTGCTGGCTTTGTTGTTGCTGCTGCTGTTGTTGATTACCCACTACCATCGCTACAGACGATGATGTTGAACTCACCGACGGTGATGATATTGCTATGCTCGCTGCTGTATTCGTACCCTCATCGGTTGTCCGTTTAAAGAAATTATGTTGCAAGGCATAGTACGGTGTTACACGTGTCTTCGGATCGAAATCCAACATTCGCAATATTAAGTCTTTGAATTTCAAATAATCCGCCACCGAATGACCCGGCTCATCTAGGCGCCGGCCACCTGGTCCACCCGTTTCAACGCCAAGTATATCGTGTAGTTTACGTGAACCTGGCGGTTTGTATTTACGTCCATTTTGACTCTTCTTCAACACATATGAACCGTCCGTAACGACTTTATCGAAAAATTTACGCGTCTTATGCGCTTGATCGAGTAAATATTTCGGCGGCATGCCGAGCACCTCGACGATTTTGTTCATTTGATCGGCTTCGTTGCAGCCGGAAAAGAGCGGCTCACCGGTATGCATCTCAACTAGAATGCAGCCGAGTGACCACATGTCAATCGCCAAATCGTAGGGTATGCCGAGTAGCACTTCCGGCGAACGATAGAAACGTGACTGAATATATTGATATATCTAAGGAGAAAAAATAAAGTCAAGTTATTTCGAATGTGTTACAAAAATGTAATAATAATAAGTGGATTTAGTGCATTTTTGTACCGTTATTAGATAGAGCAAATGCCACAACAAGAAAGAACGTCAAATTCTGCTGGACCGTAACTTTAATACGCTTCACAGCTGTATTTTTTATAGCATAAAATGGTGTAAAAATAAAGGGTATAAAAAGATCTGTATATGTATATGCTATAGTGGTCCGATCTGTACAATTTGTTCGGAGATTATACCGTTGTCTTGGACACAAATTTATGCAGAATTTCGGGAAGATATCTCGAAAAATACAAAAAGATTTTCATACAATAACTGGATTTTGATCCATCAGTTTGTATGACAGTTATATGCTATAATACACCGATCTGATTAATATGTTTCGAGATTGTACCGTTGTGTTGCAAAATATTTTGTGTCAAATTCCGTGAAGATATCTCGACAAATACGAAAGTTTTCTATACAAAAACTGTATTTTGATCGATCAGTTTGTATGGCAGCTATCTATAGCAGTCCGATATTAGCGATTCCGACCAATGCGCAGCTCCTTCGAGAGAAAAGGATGTCAGCACGTTTTCACATCGACAACTCAAAAGCTGTGGAACAAGTTACAGGTGGTCATAGCTAAATCGACTCAACGCGTTCTGCTGATCCTTTTTTATTTGGGGTCTAATTTTATGGGGTCTCCAACGTTTCCTGTTGAGCTATGCAAACTTCTTGGCATACTTAATATACCCTATTCAGTGCAAAAATTCAAAATATTTTAATTTTTGTAAACTTCTTTAATTTGCTGAATTTAGTTAGCGCTCATTTCAAAAAAGTCTTCAAAATTTCTGTTTTCAATTAAAAATTTCTTGTATTTATATAATTATTCACCATTTGTTAGTCACACAAATCACTTATTTGCATTGGTACTCACTCTTTGTCCCAGCTGACATGAACTGCCAAAGTCTACAATCTTTATTGCTGAACGCTTTGGATTGCAAAGCAATATATTCTCGGGCTTTAGATCACAGTGGATTATATTCAGTTCTGGTGTACTCAAAAAGAGCAGTGCAGTGCAAAGCTGTTGGGCAAATTTACGTGTTAGATTCAATGAAACACCGCGGAAATTCGTATTCCGTAGTAGATCGTATAAATTGTAGGAGAGCAATTCGAACACTAAACATAAATGATTGCGCCACATAAAATGCCGTTTCAATTTAACTGCAATGGAAAACAAATACAATTCAGGTTATGTAAAAATTACAAAGAATATTTAAAGTATCCAACAACAACGTACCAATATAGTATTTGTTCTCGGCATCTGCACGATTCATCATTTCCAATAATTTCACTTCGATTTGTGCCTGATTTAGGAACGGTTTCTTATTTTTAATAATTTTTATCGCTACGTGACACTGTTCTTCGTGATCGTAAGCTTTGACCACTTGTCCAAAACTGCCTTTTCCTATACGATTGAAGAAAATTTGAAAATAAATTAGTAAGCGTCATAAATGGTATTAAAAGAAACTGCGCGACTCACCAATGAGCGAATCAATTTCGTAGCGATCCAAGAATTTTTCACCATTTTTAATTATATAATCGTGATTATCATCATCGTAACCGTCGTTATATAATTTTCGCTCCTTCTTATTCGACGAGTCATCCTCGCCTTGGGTCTGTTGAGCGCGTCGCTTCTTTTTCGCATAGTAAACCTGCGAATATGTAGAAATAAAGTTAGCACTTTTAATTCGAAAATTATTAAAATATATGTTTACATTTTTTTTATTGGTAAGTTGTTAAAAAAAAAATGTAGGAAAAGTGCTGCGCGAGTCTTATGAACACTTACAACTTTATTTTGACGATTATCAAATCCCATAGCAAAATAAAAACTAAAATTTACTACTAAAAATTTGAAGAAAAAAACTACGACAAAACACAGAATTGTCAAATTTGAATTTGAAATTTTATTCTTAAAGGCTAATAGGAAAAATTTTATACTTACTTTTTAAATCAATTAGTTCAAATGTTTGAAATATGTAAAAAAAAAATCATATACAAAAAATTTTAATACAAAAAACTTATATATAAGAAAATTATATGTATAAAAAAAAATTTTATGTAAAAAAAATCAAATATAAAAAATAAATTAAATAAAAAAAAGCATTCATTTTTAAAATATGCAGTATTTAAAAAGTTAAAGCTTATACCAAAAGTTCACTTAATAGCTTTGACATTTATTAGGACATAAGCCTTATTGTCACACTGTGGCCGAAGCTTTCGCGCGAGATTTCATATTTCTTTAGCCTAAAAGCAATTTTTAACTTAAGGAAAGCTCTTTTCTTTGAGTTTTAAAGTTAATTAAAAGTTTTAAGTTATGCGAAAAAAATGTTTTTCCATTTTTTAATTACTACACTTACAAGAAGCTTTTAAATACTTAGTAAAAATAGAGCTACCTAAAAAGCTTTCTTAAATTTATGTGATACAACTAATGCTTTTAGCTTTTAATATCCTAAAAATTAGAGCTTTCCAGCACGGTTTTATCTATCCATTGCTTATGAGAAAGCTTTTTGATATAAAACTTGTAGGTAGTTTTGTTCACATTAAGCGCATAAGCAGTTTCAAATTTGAAACGATATAAAAAGCTCAAAATAAAAACATTGCGAGCTTTTATGAAGTTTAAAAAAAGGCTTTCATATTTTTTGCAGCTTTTAACTTTCATTACAATATTAAAGAAAAAGAAATTGATAGAAATCGAATCTAAATTGTGTTTGCAAAATATTACTGAGCTTTCAAAAAACCATTTGACTTACGTCACTCATATAAGCCCAAGTGTAAGTTGAGCTTTCAAAATATTAATGAGGTTTCGTGAAGTTAGAAGGCTTTCAAAAAATATATGAGTTGGGTTAATGAACAAAGGACAAGAAAAATTAGTTATAAACTTCTTTGAAATAGTTATGTACTAAGTAACGCCCAAAAGTATGCATCTGTTACATAACCAATGCTAATTTTAAAACTGTTGTCGTTGATATGATAGCAAATGAGATGAATCTCGCTATACAAATTTGTTTTAACTATGAAATGACCATGATTTCGCTTTTATAGTGACGCCTAAAGGTATGTAACACTTCAAGAGAATACACAATATTTCAATACTGCAAGTGAATGTATAAAAAAAAAAAAAGTGAAGGCGTTGTGATTAATTATCTTCCTGACCCTGCAAAATGAGCGCCTCCAAGTATGCAAAATTAAAACGTTTATAAACGAAAAGTTGACAACATTTTTAAGCGCCTAAATGTATGCAAAATATGTGAACTAATAGCAATTGTTTTGGCTATTTACAGCACACAATTGTCTATAGCTAGTGAGTTCAATATTTTTATATGTAAGATGTTTTAATTGCACGCCAAATGGTATGCAAAACATTATAGAGCATAAATAGTAATACAAAAGTTAAGTTACCTTACCAAAAGGTTGCACAGAATATAAAAAAAACTCACGTTGAAAACCAGTTGATAAAAAAAACAAAAAACCAGTCTGTAAATAACAAATTAAAAGAAATTGCAGAGGAAGGAGGTGTAACAAGCAACGAAATAAGAGTAGTGGCAACAAAGAGCAAAAACTAATAGAGAAGGAGATTGGTGAACAGAAAGGGCAACTAGGAAAAGAGAAATGTAAACAGTAAACCGGTAAAACGACAGGCAGTCAGTCAAAGCTAGCCAAGCAGGCGGTTAGACAGAAAGTAATTTTCATAGAAAAGGGGCGAACAAAGTCAGGGAAGCAGAGCATATGGCAGAAGTTACTGCATGCATGGGTAGGGGCGCGCTTCACACGGGGGTAGCAACAGTGATAAACCTAAGCGAACTCTCATACAACCATGCCATAAGAAATATACCTACACAGTCGAAACGGAATGAAAAAGCGAATTGGAAGAATGGCAAAGCGGAAAAGTTGTTGCTAACGCCACAAACATTAGCAGGGAAAGTCAAAACGTCGATAATGGTCAGAAAATGCGCGCGCCTGTTCGTATGTGTGATTGTCGTAGTGTCAACATTTACACACACAAAAACGAACTAACTGTATGTACATACATATGTAGAATGTATGTAAGCGCACGGATACGCAAGCGCGCGCAGTGTATGTATACTGCGCGTGTAAATGTAAGGACATGAGTCGACCATGTCTCTATACATATGATGAATGAACGAGAAGGATATGAGAAGAATGATGCTGCAACATTTTGGAGAGATTTGCAGACATTCAAAAATCAACAGCCCAAGTCAAGGCGCTGAGCGACAGAGAGAGCGCGCGTAATGGCTTGCAGCTGAGCGCGTGCGAACCAAAGGCAAACTGTTTGGTGTGCGCCTAAAAAGCTGCAAGGCAAGCCAACATCTAGCATTAGCATATGTGTGTGTATGAAAGTATATGCGCGGCAGGCAGCAAACCAGCAAGCCAGCCAGCCAGCTGCGGCCGCAATACAAACAAGCCGAAACAATGTAGGGAAATTGTAGAAAAATATAGAGAAATAGAAATGAAACGCTTAAAAATGGGTGTATGCCGACGCGTAGACGCTAGCCGCGCAGTGGCTGTTAACGCGCTGCAACACGTCAGCCGACCAGACAGCACCACTGAATGCGCCGCGTAGTGGGTCTATGGCGACAGACATCCAAGCTGATTGTCGGCTGTCGTGCGCCGCGGTGTGAAGTTGGCTGTGGTGGTGTGGTGTGGTGATGGTGTCAGCCAGCAGCAGCTACTGAAATTGAAGATGTTTGCTGTGCTCTGCATAGTGAAGCGTCGTCCTTCGGCGGTATAAAATTTCCGTAGCGGCACAACAATAATAAGAGTACAATAATAATAAGAAAAAACCAAAGCGTTTGTGTACAAAAAAAATGATGCAGGAAACTAGTGAAGCAGATGTTGGAGGCCATGTTAAGACGGGCAAAATCAATTGACGTTTGAAATAGGAAACCCAAACAGCCTGTTTTCGGCCAACACTGAGGCGGTGTGTAAATCGGTTACAATAAGAAATTGAAAGGGTATGTAAGACTTACAGGATGTTATTACTGGGCATGTACATATGTACATATGAATATAAAAAAATATACATATATATACTTACATATGTACTGCTAAATATTGTATATAGTATAACGGATATAGGTACTTCATATTTTTATTAAACTTAAGATAAATTGAATTGACTTGTTTAAAAAAAGGAAAATAAGGATTAAAATATTTACATATGTATATATTTATTTTTGAGTAAAATTTAAAAATTTTGCAAACCAAAAAAAATAAATTGCGATTTAAAAAACAATAATTTTTGGCGTTAACATTGAAATAAAACCAGCAAAATAAATTCAATCGTATTTAAACATGTATTAACAGTTATAAAATATTCTATGTTTTCTATGTTTTTGAAATAAGCTATAAATTCAATGAAAACTGATAATATAGGTTCAAAAGAACAAATGCGACCCCTAAAAAAATAAATTGCGATTTAAAAAACAATAATTTTTGGCGTTAACATTGAAATAAAACCAGCAAAATAAATTCAAACGTATTTAAACATGTTTTAACAGTTATAAAATATTCTATGTTTTCTATGTTTTTGTAATAAGCTATAAATTCGATTAAAACTGATAATTTAGGTTCAAAAGAACAAATGTGACACTTAATATCCTTTAAAACACAGCGAATTTGAAATTGCATGTATTCTATGTTTTTAAATATAAATCAAGAATTTGCTTGTATGAAGATTAGAAGAAAATGTACGGAAATATGTTGAAAGTTCTTTTTACCTATAACCTAGCGTTTTTAATATGTCATGAGCCGTAATTTTTTTCTTCATCGTATTCTTTAATGTTTACAATTTCATCGTGAAAAGATATACGCAAGAACAACGTTTACAATTTGTTCAATTTTATTATCAAAATAATCGTTTTTCAATCGCAATTAATTTAAGAAAATCATCTTCTCCGATGAGGCTCACTCATCTGAGTGCTGCGGTAAATAAACAAAACCGTCGATTCTGGTGCAAAGAAAATCCACAAATTATTAATTAACAACCATTCACCAAAATTGACAGTTTGGTGTGGTTTTTGGTCTGATGGAATCATTAATGTTCCATACTTTTTTCGAAATGAAGCTGGTCACACTATTACTGTCAATGGAGAGCGGTATAGATCGATTATGACCAACTTTTTATGGCCGCAGTTGAAAAAAGTTGATCTTGACAACATCTGGTACCAACAAGACGAGGCTACGTGCCACACAGCACGTGCAACAACCGAATTATTGCGAGAAAAGTTTGGGGATTCGATAATTACAAAAAATTGTGACATTAAATGGCCTCCTAGAAGTTGTGATTTAACACCATTAGACTACGTCTTGTGGGGCTATTTGAAGTCATTGGTCTTAAGCAATAAACCAGACTCTCTTCAAGCATTAGAAGTCAATATTGAACGTGCTAATCATCACATACGACTTGATTTAGTGGAAAAAGTACTCGAAAATTAGGTTCATGGCAAACGTTCCTGCAAAAGAAGTTGTGGAGGCCACATCGAATCGATTTTACTTCACAGATAAAATTGACTTTATGTAGCGTGCAAGAGCGTTAAAGGCACTTCAAAAGTATTCTATGTTTTTCGATGTTTTTTGAAATTTAAAAAGATAAATTTGCTAAAAACTATTATCTTGCGTGTTACATGTTTTCTTTGTTTATATAAAAATTAGTTATTTTAATCATAATGCCGCATTTTTATTATAATACATATGCAGAAACAACAAAATTAGAGTTTATTTAGTGTGTAAGGGTTTTAAACACACTTTCAAAATATTCTATGTTTTTGATGTTTTTTTTTGGAAAACCATACGAATTATAAATAGTAGCAAAGCATACAAATTTTAAGTAATAGTAGAAAAAAAATTCTATGTTTTTATAAATATTCAATAGGGCATGAATCACACGCAAATATTTATAGGGGAACATTTTTACATTGGCTTGCACATTGTTACTGCTACAAAATCAATGCCAGGGCACATGTTAAATGATTTAAAATCAATTTGCAAATCAGATATTTTACTCGATGTCGTCAATTGTTATTTGCAACTATCATTGTTGGCTATTTTTACAAACGCAAACACACACATATGCATGCATACAAGCGTACGTGCGCCGAAAGTAACAAAAACTGCCAAGAAAGAGACTTTGCGGACAGTGAGTGTGCGGGACGAAGGGCTGAAAATGTACAAATAAATTCAAGCACTGAAGAGAGCTGCAAGAGCAAAGTGCACATATACATATATAATCTATATGTACTTATGGTACATATATGTGTGTATGTATGTATGTATTACGGCCAACCGCAGTAGTTTAGAATTTCACAGGCTCGGCGCGCGCGTTGTGTATTCCGCCAAACGCCAGCAACTAAAAGGCAACTCAATGACTTTGATTGCGTATGTGTTCAAATGTGAGGCTTTGTATGTGTATTTGTGTGCACTGACGCAGGTGGCAACAATGTTGCAAATGCGAAATTTCACCACCGTTGTTGTTCTTATTGCTGTTTAAGGCAGCTGATGATGAAAAGTCATCGCTGACGAGTGCTTGGGTCAAGGGCGGTGACATACAACTACTAATGGTGCATCGTTTCGGTTTAGGGGTTGCCATTGCTAAAGCGACTAACTATGTATAATGTACATATGTATGTTGCTAACTGTCAGCGGCAGCAACAATTATAGCAATGATAAAAGTTGAAGAAGACGCAACCGCACATAATGTGAAAATAAAAAAGGAGCAACAAGAAAAAAAACTGTTGGTTATATGGACAAGTTGCTATTCCAAAATGTGTTATTGCTATTGTTAGTGATGACTTTGTATAACGGTAAAAAGTAAAAAGTAAAAAAATAGAATGAAAGCCATGTAATAGCTTAATATTGTACAATACCTTAACAGATTAATGTTAGGAAAAAACATAGAAAACATAGAATACTGAAAACAGTCAAAAAGCATATAATTCGATTAAAGAATTGTGAATGATGACTTACGAGTTATGATATTTGCGCCTATATGAAAAACATTGCAAACATAAAATGTACAAACATATTTTAAAATATGAGTTTCAGTAGTAAAAAGCCAAAATATTATAACAACGGTTGTTTAAGGATTGCGAATCATCGATGCTACATCGAAAACAAAAAATGTTTTGGAACATGAGTTTCAGTAGTAAAAAGCAAAAATAATATAACGGTTGTTTAAGGATGCCGATACTCGAAATATAAATACAAAGAAGCTTTAATTTCATTTATTTATAGTGTAAAAATAAAGCTATCTAAAAAATACCGCTCAAAACTCAGAATTTAAAACAATTACAAATATCGAAAACATAGAATGGCTATCTTATATACAATTAATTAATGACATTATATATACGAATGCTTAAGTGCGCTGCCAAGGCAGAACATATCTGATCCTAGATACGAACTGTATAACTGTTAAGAAACTGTGTAACTTTATAACTCGCCATCGCTTCGGTTATTAATTCAAATAAAAAATATGTTCGTACTTACCTCATTTATATGCTTGTAGGTCTTAATTAAATCCACACTTAATTTTCGCAACGGCGCCGTAGCTGGATCACGAAAATGTGATGGAATTCGTGCCTGCATGGCACGCACTTCAGACGATGACGTCGGACTAGATCGCTAAAAAAAGGAAATAAACAAAGCAAAGAAATGTATGTTATAAAATTTATAACAATGTGGAAAAGTATTGCATGTATGTTAGCTACAGAGTAAAGGTGGCTATCAAATCAAAAATAAAGAAAGTCATAAAGTAATAATAAATAAGCAATTAGTAAATTGCAAAAAAAAGTGAAAATTAAAGCAATTAAATTGATAGCAAACCCATAGGCTGAGGTGATATTTATTTTTGCAAAAACAGATAATTTATGAAATTTGGATTTTGTTATATATTTTTCATAAATAATTTGTTTTGATTTTTAAATTATATTCACTTACATGATGCATAACATCTCGATGTGTTGCAGGAAGCTCTTCTTCGTCCACAAATCGTCCGTAGAGCGGCGCATGACGTTGACGTCCTGACTCGCCGCTCACTGCCGCGCTGGATACATAAACTGCGGATACTGCAAAAGAAAACCAAAATTAAGTTTTAATTTATACTTTGGAAAAAATTTAAATAACTACTTAAATACTAAGCGGTAAAGTACTTAACAGATATTTTATTATTAGTAAATAAACTAATTTAACTTTATGGTTGAAGTAAACATTTTTTTTAAATCCAAAAAAAAATGTATTTCTGCATTTATGTGAAATTTTTATAAGCCTTATTAGACGTTAAGAAGATATCATTCGTAATCGTTAAATCATATAAAAATTATGATGATTAAGATTTTTTATTTCTTATCGGTATGTAGTCGATTTTATAATAGATATTTTCTTTACAACGTGTACACATTGCAGTCAAAACATGTTTATGGTTAAACATAACTTACTTATAAAAAAAAATCAAACTTAATTAGACTGAGATGAGATAAGATTTTTAAATTTTTTATTCTTAAATTTCGTCGTACTTAAATAGAGACAAGTTTAATTGAGTAGAGTATTTTTAAAATTAAAATCAAAATTCAAATTAAAAATACTTTTAAGCATCAGATATTTTATGTTTGAAGTTAAACTTGTTTTGACATCTGGATTGAAGATACATGGCAAGAATTTTTCGATGAAGAAATAGAGACAAAACAATTAAAAAATTATTTATAAATTAAAATCAAAATTCAAATTTAAAATAATTTTATGTACTATGTAGTAGATAATTTGAGACTAAAGTTGTTTTGACACCTGGATAAAGTATACATTCTAAGAATGGCGACTTTCCTTATTTGATATTTCGCTAAAAATATACTTTTAAAACTTCTTCAAAAAGTTAAATCTTATTTTAAATGCTAAAGTGTGAACGTGATGTAAGAATGAGTAGAAATTAAAAGAAATCCCTAGATTGCTCCTAATTGTTACCGAATATTTAACTACCAAATTACTTTTTCCAACCAAAAATTATAATTAATCAGCTTTAATTTTGATTTTTTTAGTGTGAACAGGTGTAAGGATGTATGGAGAACACTAGACTTTTCGAAATTATTTGATTACCAATGTTAAAAATTTACGAAAATATAAAACAGGTAAACTTCTTGTCTTCAATTAAAGTGTGAACATGGTATAAGGACAAGTTAAATGAGATATTAAAGGTTTTGTAATTACAAAATTTTAAGAATCCAAGCCTTTGGTTCGATTATAAAACAATTTTTTTGACGACTAAGTAGAAAGTGAGAATCAGAAGACAGAGAATCAATAGACCTATCTAATAATATTTCCAGCTGTAAAACAAAAAGTCAAAAGTGCATTGCACCGAAATAATGCAAAATTATTTATGAAGTGGCCAAAAATAATCATAATAACATCGAGCGCACGGAAATGATGATTGTCAAACTGTGGCAAACCGTTAGACATACATATATATGTACATATGTGCATAGGCGCAGGTGCTGCCTACGCCGCAAATAGCGAGACGTCAGATAATTGTGAGCATCACCTAAATACCGGGCGCTGCCAAAAAGTGAAATAGTCGCGTGAGCGCCAACACAAACACTAGTGCATGTGCATTTATCTGTGTATAAATTACAGCGGAAAAAAACTAAATACTTAATAAAAAGGTGATTATATATGTACATATGGAAGTGTGTGCAGTTTACGACCAGGGGCGACCTACTTAAATATTAGCAAACTGATATGACAAAAAAAATCAATGAAATTAATAAAACAAAAAGCTAAAATATAATATAAAAAAATTACAAATTGCAAAATTTATAAAAAAAAATTACAAATTACAAAATTTATAAAAAATAAAATATTACAAAAATTAAAAAAAAAAATTAAGAAAAAAAATAAAAAAAAAAAATTATAAAGAAAAATTTTAAAAAAATTAAAAACTACAAAAATATTTTAAAAAAGTCAAATATATTTACAAAAATATAAAAAAAAACTAATAATCAAAACAAAAAAACTTAATATATAATTTAAAAAAAACACAATATACATACATATATAAATATAATATATAAAAACAAAAAAAAGGAATGCAGAAATTGAGAAGTGTTCACTTCTTCAAAATGAGGGAAAAAAAGAAATAAACTATATAAAAACTAACATACGTTAAATAAATATATCAAAATGTATAATAAAAACAATTTAAAAGGATGAATGTTTCTAAATTCTAAATTGAAAAAGAAATTAAAATATAATACAAAATAAATAAAATATAATTTAAAGAAACAAAAACATTAAAATTTTTTAAATTTATTTATTAAAAATTATTTACTAAATTTTTATTAACAATTATTAATTTACTCAATCCGATCCCGCGACAGTCGGGTCTACATAACCGGGACGGACTCGGATTTTATCCACTAAGGACTATCAACTCAGCAGAATTCTGCCGCTATAACAACAACATTAAAACACATTAAAAAATATACATATAATGTAAGTATGTATATACGGTATTCTGAAATATAACCTGAAATCACTAGTATAAACGCATATTATGATGGTGATGACTTTCTATAGGTGCAAATGTGTATAAATATGCATAAGCACGAGTCAGCTAGATTATTTAATCTGTAAGAATATTACACAATTTTCACCAAAAATTCGAATATACTTTTGGCACAAACAAGCAAACGCACAGCCAAAAAAGGTAGCCGTAAACATTTGTGTGCATATAGTATATACTCGTATGTATGTACATAAATACATACATATATACCATATTTATATAAAGACAAGAATTTCTTTGCGCTTAGTTATGCCGTTATCGCACACACATGACTTTCTCATATGCACACACACATACACACGCGTAATTTGCAGCTGAGCATTTATGGCTGCTTTTGCTTTGCTGTGACGGCCACCCACTCAGCTGCGCTGCGAATTGTCAACCGTCAAATTAACCAACTCAGTGCTTGCTTGCTTGCGCCGTGCATCCGGGTGGGCGGGTCAGTTAGTGGATTTTGCTTTTATCTATAGTTTCTTTCGTCTCACTTTTGGCGCATTTTTAATAGTCATTTCGCAATTTTTCGTTGCACATTTGGCAAAATAATGCGTTACAGCTGCGCTTATGGCGACTGTGTGGGTAATTGTGTTAAATTTACATAGCATTTTATATGATTTGTAGAGAGTTCGTTACCGATAGCGTATTTTTTTGTTGGTTTTGTGAGAATCGTGCATATGTACCCACACATGTACATAATTTTTGTGAATTGACATGTAAATTTAAATATATTTAAATTCATTAGGTGACAGCGGAAATTAGTGATTAAGAGATTACAAAAATTCGAAATAACGAAAATATATAAAATTTTAATTTTTATTTTAAATAAGTGTTCGGAAGTGTGTCGTAAGTGAAATATCAAACATTTTTCTTTTAATGAACCACCGAAAAATTAAAAAAAAACGTATAAACAAAAAAAAGAAAAAAAAAATTAAAAGAATTATACAAAAACCTTTAATTATAAAAATTTTCTAAAAATAAAAATTACACAAAAAACAAAAAAAAATTATTAAATTAAATTATTCTTTATATAATTTAAAAATTAATTAAAATATTAAATAACTGAACATTTTAATTAATCTTTGTACCCATCAAAAAAGTTAAAAACTTAGAGAGTAATTTAATTTATAAAATTAAAATCATAAAACAAATTGAATTATTATTATTAAATAACTCAAAATTTTAATTAAATTTCATACACATCAAAAAAATTAAAAACTAAGAGATAAATTTATAATATTATTTATAGATTTAAAAAAATAACAATATAAAACCAATTGATTTTTTATAATTTATGTAATTTAAAAAATAATTCACATATTTAATAATTCAAAATTTTAATTAAATGTTATATAAATTAAAAAATTAATAAAAATAAAAAATAAATATAAATAAATATAATTTATAAACTTTATAAAATTAGTCAAATTAAATATAATTTAGGTAGTCTTATTAATATATATAAAAAAAATTACAAAAAAATGAAATTAAAACCAAGAACAAAAACAAAATTTAAAAAATTACCCAAATTAAAAAAAAAATAGACATAATTAGTTGAAAAATGGTATTAAGAATTGAAATTCAAATCAAGAGACTCTAATTATAAAAAATACGCTATATGAAATAAAAGATATTAAAAAACATAGTTTAGTTTTTTTTTATATGGAATAAAAAATTTTGAAAAAATTTGAATTTAAAAAATATTTAGTTATTAAAACCAATTTAATTAGTTTTAATACAATATATGCTCACTTTATTGCAGGAAAAAAATTTTCAAATTTAATCAATACGAAAAATACTTTTTCAAACTTAAAATCACAAGTGAAAGAAGATTATGAGAAAATATTAAAAAAATAATAAATAAAACAAAATGCATCAAAAAAACCAAATAGGTAAAAAAAAAATTAGTTAAAAATAATAATAAATACAAAATAAAAAAATTAAATAATATCCCAAAAAATTTAAATATTACAATAATGATATTATAAAAAAAAATTATAACAAAATAACCAAATTGTAATGTCACAAAAAAAAACATTTAAAAAAAAGTAGAAAATAAGGTAAAGTTATTTTTAAAAAATAATAAAAACAAAATAGCCAAACTGAAATAGCGCAAACAAAACTAAAAAAAAAGATTGCAACAGCAAAAATTAAGTAACTAAAAAATTATACAAAATAAATAGACAAACAAAGAAATTAAAAAAAAAAAATTTTAAATAATAAATATTAAAAAACAAAAATTGCAAAATTAAATAATTTACAAAATTATGCAAAATAAGTATTCAAATTAAAAACAATACTTAAAATAATATTTAAAAAAAAAATAATAATGTTTAGAAAATGAAAGTTTATTAAAAAATTAATAAAAACAAAATAACCAAACTGAAATTTAATTTAAAAAAATGTAAGATATTACAACAATAAAATTAGATACACAAAAATATTGCAAAAGCACAAATAAAATAACTAAAAAATATTTATAATAAAAAGTACAACTAAAAAATTATATTGATTAAAAGT